AAGTATGTCGAGGTGAATAATGGAGCTCAAGATACTGAATCAAACTAGTTTTACCATTTAATAGATGCATGGCCTGAGGAAATCACTCAGTCCCTGTAGGTATGTGCATGTTTTCCATATACAAAGTATAAAAGTTCTTGTGCTCCCTGACACAGATCCGCCATGACAAAGGAGAGTCGGGGACTTGAGCGGAGGCTCCGACTTGGGCGGAGCCTGGAGGGGGGTGGTTGCGCATAAGTGGACCGGAGGATTTTCACTTTAAAGTCCGGGTCTGCCGGTTTTCGTTTCGCCGTAGTGGACGTCTCAAGTCAGGTAAGGGTTAAATGGGTGCGGTGAGTCCTGCCCGCAGTGTAGAGGCGAGGCCTTGGAGCACTCATTACTGTGTGAGAAACCTTATCCACTTCCTCTTGTACCGAAGTGATTGGGTAGAGAATCCTTTGTACTGGTTTAAATCATTTTTCATTAGAAGCAGAATTAACCAGAGACTGTTTCTGAGATCCTAAGGGAAAAATTAGTAATTTAGACACCTGAGGAAAATAATGCCGTCATAAAGGTTAAATAGTTTACGTATTGAGCCAGTACCTTGTATCCAAAGTGGCTAAATAATTTGTTTAAAATATGGGGACCTGTTCTAATTTAGTTTAAAAAATACTGTGAGATTTCCCTGGGAAGGCAAAAGATGATTAATATTCGGGAGTCAGCTTCCAAGGTGAACTCTTCCGTTCATCTAATTTAAAAGTGCACTTCATTCAGGGTGTATATTTTTCTCTAAAGTCGTTTTTTTTTTGGTGTGGTATCGCTGTGTAGATTAGTATCTTTGTGCTGTTTGCCAACTTGCCAGAGGATATCTTTCCAGAAAAATGTAGCTGAGGTAAATAGAAAAGGTCTAGGAAACTAAAACGCGAGGGAAAGACAATTAGGTGGATAGTCATGGTGAAGAACAGCTTGAGTGATAACATCCAATTACAATATGACAGCTAGACCAAAATGCAGCACTTCTACATTTCAACTGGAGCAATGACATTGGAAACACTTGTAAATCAAGTACTTCCAACGTGATATATTCTAGTACTCACAGTAAGAGTTGAAGTGCCATGACTTGTGGATATTTTTAAAGCATGTGGACATATAACAAGATAAGGAGTTGAGGCATTAGGGTCAGATATTGATCCTTTGTGGTGGATTTATACTCAAAATATCTGAAAACAAACAGTTTGGTCATTCCTCCCCCCAAATTGTTATGCTATTATTGGCTGGCAAATGTTGCAGAGATCTAGTAGGTTTGGGGTGGGGGTAACACTAAAACTAAAATTTAATCACTCCTGACGAAAGTATTATGAAAGTAAAAAGACGAGTTAAACTGACAAGAATTATGATTCTGGAAATATGATAGAAATCCAGATGTTCTCTGTAAACAATGCTTTTACTATGGAAGAAAGCTGCTTAATTTCAGATCACTTAGTGGTATTGGAAATGAGTTGAGATTTTGGTCAAGTAAGATTAGGGGTAAGTTTTTGAGGCAGCTTTTGAAAGTAATTTTGACCTTATGTGAAATCTGTATCTTCTGAACAAATTTTAGTTTTGCTACACTGATGTGTTAATGGCTGAAAGTTTACCTCTGATGCTGAGTATGCTGAATTTTTTTTCCTTTTCTGACTATCCTTTTGTGAAGCTGCATTTTAATTCCTCATGTGAACAGTCTTCCACAGGCAGTTAGATTTCAGGTTTAAAAAACTCATTTACCACAGGTATAATTTTGAGTCTGTTTATTTTGATGGGAAAAATTTTAAATACTCCTTTTTTCCCCCCTGCAGAACATCCAGTCATGGATAAAAATGAGCTGGTTCAGAAGGCCAAACTGGCCGAGCAGGCTGAGCGATATGATGACATGGCAGCCTGCATGAAGTCTGTAACTGAGCAAGGAGCTGAATTATCCAATGAGGAGAGGAATCTTCTCTCAGTTGCTTATAAAAATGTTGTAGGAGCCCGTAGGTCATCTTGGAGGGTCGTCTCAAGTATTGAACAAAAGACGGAAGGTGCTGAGAAAAAACAGCAGATGGCTCGAGAATACAGAGAGAAAATTGAGACGGAGCTAAGAGATATCTGCAATGATGTACTGGTGAGAATCAATTGAGTCTCGCTTCATTATACTGTAAGGTTCCTATGAGTATCAGTTACATTACTCTCAACGTTTTCTTCGGTTTATTTTTTTCTTTCTAAACATTGTGTGTTCAAATTTAAAAGTCTTCATGGTGTCGTAACTAAAAAGATATTAAGACAATTATAGATACGTGTATGTAAAGTAATTGTAATAATGATGATGAAACAGTTCAGTTTTAAAAATAACAGACTTTAGTATTGTATTGTGTATTAATTGAAAAGATAAACTAATAGTATTACTGCTTTACTTATGGTTAGAACATTTGTGGTAGCTCTATAGCTGGTTATCTTAAATGTACATCTATGGATAAAGGAATTTTACATATTTTATGTAAGAGAGATGTAATAGGATACTGATTGTAGAAATAGTACTCTTCTCAGGATTAGCCGCTATAATGTTAATGTAATGAGTCAGCCATGCAGAAAACTCTGGCGTCACGACTATGAAACCTCTTTCCTGCATTGAATTCTTGAAAATAAATTTTGAACACTCGCAACCATGATGAAAGGTTATGAATAACTCAAGCTTGATTTTTTCCAGTTTGAATTGAGTATTTTAAGTATTCAGTACCTACTGTGTTGAAGCACTGCGCTTAAAATGATTAAACTACATTTTGGTTAATTTTAATCTGTCATACAAAGTAGGGCTTTTTGATCAAGAATAGTTTAAATTTGAGGATAAACTAGTAGAAAATCCAAGCTGGCAGTTTTTGGAATAATATTTAAAGTGATTTTGCTAAATGGTTACACTTAACCAGTATGGCAGGACTCTGATATACAAAGAGGGGCAGCAGCATCGCGATTTTTCTGGACAGGTTACTGAATGTGGGACTCAGTATGGAAATCCAGGTGTGTTACTTACTATATGAACCTTATTTATATGGAAGAAGTACTGTAATGAGCAATAGGATAATATCTGATGTGGTTGTGGGTTTGGGGTTTTTGTTACAGTTGTGATGATGCTATCATTTCTTTACACTTGTATTTACTAATGGAATAGCATCAGTTCCTAAACTGT